CCCCCACAGAAAAATTAACTCCAGCGACGTGGTTACACGGCATTGGCTTTCTTTCCAAGATGGCGGCCAAAAAGAGTCTGAGCAGCGCAGGGGTAAGAAATGTGTTGATTTCTTTCTTTGTTAAAGGCTGAATCCTGGCATGTGAGATGGGGTGAATATGTCGTGTACCAGTTGTCTTTTTAAGTATTGTGTTAAGTAATACTGGTTTAAAGATCCTTTTTGAAAAACTCTCCAACAAATGTCAGATGGTTCATGATCTGTACGTAAGTTACGAAAGAGGACCGGCCGGTGTAAGCTTCAGTTCAAGCCAGACTTTCAATGATTTGCGCTCAGTTTTTCTTTTAACCTTAAACTTTCGGCCAAAATTTTCCAACACTTATTTTAAATGAAGCCCTGGATCTTTAAATGGTATTTTTATTGTTTCAAATCGATTGAAAAATATGCGCATGCTGCTTTCAACACGTAATACTTATGTACGTACATGCACATGAATGTAACCTCTGAATTTTTTTTGTATGTAGCACATTCCATCCAGATATAATTTCTTTATTGGAACTTTCCAGACGTTATCAGCTCACGTACTACAGTGAGCTGAATAAAAGATAATCGCAAACAAAATTGTTCATCAAATTAGCGGAAGTTTTCGAATGCTCTTTCTACATCACATAATTTAAAACTCCTTTACTCTTTTCGCAGGCAATATGTGCTCTGATGGCCACTTTGCTTACCGTATTGTCTTTATTTCACCAATCCTTGTGCAAATCAAGTAGTTCTAAATCAATTATAGCCAGTCTAGATGCAAGGTGGGGATCAACACCTCTTCTTCTTGAAGCAAGGTGAGACGAAGACAGGTTTAATTTCAAAATTAATCAGAATAAAAACAAATAAACAATGTAACACCCAAGTTATTTCTAAGATTGGAGATAAGAGAGCTCTTTGGCTGCTATGTGGAATTTTCTGGCTAAATATTAATGGCCCTAGTTACTTCCTATTCAGACATTGAGCCATTTATGTATCTAGCTTGTCATGGCTCAGTAAATATATATATACAAAAAAAAAAAATAAACTTTAATAGCTAACACAATTACTACTGGTAACCCAGTAGTTTACATTGTGGGCTGTACTAAGAAGAAGTTTTAACTAATTGCATAAAAATCCCCACTGGCAGGAGGCGACCAGGCTATTTACAGAGCGCAGCTAAGGAGTTGAACCAGGGGCAACCGAGAACAGTGAGTGAGTGGCAGGGTGGAGGACTTGAACCCGGGCCACTGGATTTCAAGTCCAGCCCCCTAACCACTCGGCCACGCCACCTCCATCAAACCATCCATTAATAGCCACCTTCAATTTGGTGAATAGTTGTTAATAGGTGCTTTGACATGGGTTTTCCATGAAATAACATTTCTTTTTTCATTTCAGTGAATATTTAGCAGCAGATAGTAATGAAAAATTTTGGAAGTTTGTGGATTCATGTCAAGATAAATCATTTGATCATGATTTAGGTAATGAATTATGCCAATAATTATTTTCATTTGGTTTATCATTGGGCAAAATATACCGAAGAGTTATAATCAACATCATGGTGATAAAGAATAAGGGGCCTGTTTCTCGAAAGTCCTGGTTACTTAACAGGCCAACAGCGAAGTTTTAAAATCAAAATATAAAGGATAGGAAAACAGATTCTGACACCCAAAACCAGTCCTTTTGGTTTCTTGAGCTGATGGTTTTATTTGTATCATTTTCAAAACTCTTGAAATCCCCATCTTGAATTAAAACAGAACAGCTTTAGGGCTGTTAAATTAGCGGAACTTTCGAGAAACTGGTCCCAGGTTTCATGTGTATTTTTCAATTCAACAGTTGATGTTATTTCATTGAATTTATTATGCATCAAAAGGCCTGGCTCTGGTTGTTTGAAGGGTGGGTATTGCTATCCAATAGACAAGTTGCTATCTGCTGTACAAGTGTTAATAAAGCATACTATGCTATTTACTGGATAGTGATGATTTATTCAGTTGATAGCAGTTCCCATCCTTTGAACAACAGGGGCCTGGTTGTTACTTGACTCTTTACGCTGTAACATCAATATACAATTTCTCCATACAATTCTCTCTACATATCTTAAAGTACTGACAAGGCGAATATGTTTAATAATCACAAACTTTATTGGTTTGGGATCATTTCCTAATTATTTTCGTGATCTCAATGTTTGATTCAGTGGTGATACTGTAAGAGGAAATTAGAGGTGAGTCACTCTTGGGGTGTAAAGGAGATGATTTTGGAGTTGTTTGCACAGTGTAGGTCAAGAGTTTAAGCCCCGGCCAGACCAATACTCATGATCTTAGAATAATTGAGGAGAACTTGCTACCTTTCTATAATATCAAGAAATGGATAGAGATTCTAGTCTTCTTGGATAAGGATGAATAAACCATAGGCCCCGTCTCCTGCAGGGTTAGGGGTATGAGACGTTAATTTCCCACACACGAGATGGGTGGGGTAGATAGCAGGTCCACATCAGCAAAATTGCTGCCATAACTCAACCTGCTCAAACAAATAAAGATGATGATGATGATGATGATGATGATGTAGAATAAGTTGTTAATGTTGCATTTTACTCTATTTCAATTTCAGATGAATATGAACATGTTTTAACTACTGCTGAGCAGTTGCTAGCTCCAATAGGTCTAAATTTCTTACAGTTCTCTTTGTCATTGAGATATTATTCTCCCAGAGTGGAATTGTTCAATAAGGTGAGATGTCAAAAGGTCTGATGAACACTT